TTCTCCCCTTCTCCCTTATGCCTCCACATGCCCTGCCACCAGGTAAAACAGCTACCTTTCCCAGCCTTTCTTGCCAAAGAGATGTAAGTGAAGGGGTTAAAGGAGAGCTCTTTAAAAGTTTCTAAACTGGGAGACAGACACTTTTTTTGTCCTCCTCTTTCTCTTTCTATTTCTTGAAACTCAGAAGTGGTGAAGGGGTTAAAGGAGAGCTCTTTAAAAGTTTCTAAACTGGGAGACAGACACTTTTTTTGGCCTCCTCTTTCTCTTTCTATTTCTTGAAACTCAGAAGTAATGGAGAGAACTGCAGAAGCCACCATGTGGCCATGATACAACTTAAAGAAAGTAGCCACATGGTAAGGAAGGCAAAGCAGAAAGACAGAAGACACCTGACTTCCTGATTATGTGAAGTTGCTACACTAACTGTGGACTGCCCACCTCCACACTTATTTGTCTTTAGAAAAAATAAACTTTAATCTCACTTAAGCTACCTTTATTTCAGGTCTGTAACTAGCAGCCACACCAAATAATAACTAATCATAATCTCAACTGCTATCTGAACCCCCATCCCGACTCCTCCTACTGAAAAGTGCTTAATTCCTCACATTGTTTGGGGAGGAGAGATTTCACATAGGCTGCCCAACTCCTCTGGGTAGTTCCTCTATGTTATTTTTGCTAGACTAGGAGTCAGTTTCTATTCCATACTAACTCCATGCTAAATTTTCATGAGCCTGAGTTTCAACATCTATAAAATAGGGATGATAATGTCTGCCTTGCACATCTATCAAGTCCTGATAAAAAAGACACAAGTATATAAAAATAATATTAATAATAATTATAGTTTTGTGCATCATTCATTATTTTAGCACACAGGTTATTTTAAGATTTCATTTCTTCCCACACTTAAGCAGCCAGTACCTGCTTCTCCATCCACAACCACTCACCCCCTTTCACACCCACATACACAATATTGACAACTAATGCCCGGAGAAAAGGTGTATTATGAATTGTTTTGGTCAGAAACAGAGGCTGGTGAGATTACTAAGGAGTAATAGTACCTGTTCCTTTGTTCCAGAATCCCTCTGCGATGACAACATACATTAAAAAAATGTACAGGCTGCTACATACTCTAATTCTCAGGTACAGAAAGCTATTCCCGTAACATTTTCACATTCAGAGATATGATTTCTTAAGGGAGAATATTCTAAAATTTTTTTTCTATTTGTTTCTATTATTCATTGAGTCCTCCTAGACATCTCTCACAGATTTTTTTAGTTTGCGGAAGACTGCTGACATCAAGTAAGTTAATTAATAAGCTGAACTAACAGCCTGTGAAAAGAGCCATTAAATACCAGTGTAACTGACCCATAGCCCAAGAAAAACAAACCCATCTGCTGATGCCGCAGCAAGACAACCAGGCAGGAAGGCTTGCTATATTCTGTGGTTTCACATTCTTGGAGCTGTCAGGGACATGTGTGAGCCACCTCTGAGTATGCTAAAGCATAAAAGGGGTTGAAAATGGAAGTCCTGGGGTCATTCAAAGGGAACCGACCAGAACTTCTACTACAATTTTGATCATTATGAGTTCAGTAATGACTATAATCATTCTAGGGATCAATAAAATAAATAAAACAATGAAAAAATGCTTACTGAGCAAAGGTTTTGTCTACAAGATCCACATTGTTGATTTTTACAATACATTCATTTTCATGAAATAGTCCTTCCCGTTTGGACCTGCTGTTTTCTTCAATGCCTCGGATGAAGAGTCCTAGAATTCTAAATGCAAAATTTAGATTGAAATAGATTTACTGAATAATAATAAGCTAATTATCTCTCCACTCACAACTACTCAGAAATAAACATTGATTTCTATTTGTGAAAGAAATTATACTTTATTTTCAGGCAAATGTTTGTAATTTAAATCCTTTCCTTAGCCCTCCCCCCACAAACAAACTCACTAAAAGAGAAAAGGCCTTTCAAGACAAATATACATACATAAATGCCAACTTGGAGAACATTAATCTGTGACCCCATTTGTTATGCTTATAGTAACTTTAGAAAAGGTTAGTATAGCTTAGTGCAGTTGATGACACCAAAGACTTGTGGCTTGAGAAGGGCATCACAGTTGACTATAGGAAGTAAGTCTGAACTACTGCCAAGGTAGCAACTTGATGTTTAGTAATAGGAGAGGATTTGGTACTCATAGAAATATTTTTGCAGTCTCACTACCTTTTCTAATAATTTCCATTTTAAGAAGTAAACAAACATTTAAAGTCAGATTGTATACTCAACTTAGAAGGAAGTCCAGTCCCATTTGTTAGGGCCACTGAATCAAGTATGTGTTAGGTGTTTTCTATGTGCTCAGGATGAAGGTGTATAATACAAGGCTGTTGGACCAGGACCAGGTAAATTAGTGTAAGTTTGGGGTAGAGTAGAGGTTCAGAAATGAGAGACACCTAAAGACTCTATTAAAAAAAACTCTTAGAGTTGATAAACAATTTCAGTAAAGTTGCAGGATACAAAATCAATA